AGTTGCCAGTTCTCAGCCTCCAGCTCCCCAGCCTACTCCGCGTACTAAAGTTGCACTACAAAGTCGCCAGATGTCAGCTTCCAGCTCCACAGATTGCTCCGCGTACTAAAGTTGTACTACCGCCAGTTCTCAGCCTCCAGCTCCCCAGCCTGCTCCGCGTAGTAGAGTTGGTCTACCAAGTCACCAGTTCTCAGCTTCCAGCTCCACAGATTCCTCCGCGTACTAAAGTTGTACTAGAAAGTCGCCAGTTCTCAGCCTCCAGCTCCCCAGCCTACTCCGCGTACTAAAGTTGTACTACCAAGTCACAGATTCCTCCGCGTACTAAAGTTGTTGTACTAGAAAGTCGCCAGTTCTCATCTTCCAGCTCCCAGATACTCCGCGTACTAAAGTTGTACTAGAAAGTTGCCAGTTCTCAGCCTCCAGCTCCCCAGCCTACTCCGCGTACTATAGTTGTACTACCAAGTCACCAGTTATCAGCTTCCAGGTCCACAGATTCCTCCGCGTACTAGAGTTGTTGTACTACAAGGTCGCCAGTTCTCATCTTCCAGCTCCCCAGATACTCCGCGTACTAAAGTTGTACTAGAAAGTCACCAGTTCTCAGCTTCCGGCTCGACAGATTGCTCCGCGTACTAAAGTTGTACTAGAAAGTCGCCAGTTCTCATCTTCCAGCTCCCCAGATACTCCGCGTTCTAAAGTTGCACTAGAAAGTCGCCAGTTCTCAGCCTCCAGCTCCCCAGCCTACTCCGCGTACTAAAGTTGCACTACAAAGTCGCCAGTTCACAGCTTCCAGCTCCACAGATTGCTCCGCGTACTAAAGTTATCTTCCAGCTCCGCAGAGACTCCGCGTACTAAAGTTGCACTACAAAGTCGCCAGTTATCCCTTGAACTGCCACGTTGGGATCTTTCGACTCAAAGTAAGTTTTTACATGACAGGCTGTGATGCTCATGTTTTCTAAAAAACATGCACTTTGAAAATCGTGGCGACTTATTTGCTCAACAAACGTCAAGCTATATGAAATGGGTATCAAAATAAAGTCATGACTGCTATATACAAGACATTTTTCATTTTCGGGGGCTGCCTCCGCATACGGGTGCTGCCTCCGCATACATCCTTATTGGGCGGGGTGTGCAATGATACTATTGCATGCACGTTTTTTGGTGTACATATTTGTCGATATTCAGTTAGCGTTGTAGTGACCACCCGTAGATTGCCCACTGCTGTCGATTGTGTTGGGCCAACCCCGGCAAAACGCATTAAGTGCAATGCAGGGATTGGCCCAACAAACTCCATTTGGCATATGATGTATGACTTGGGTCCATTGGGGAGTATGCCACTCAAGAGTCCCAAAATCATCCGACAGCGTCAGTTAGAGCACAAGTTTATTCAGGTATGTTTCGGTTTTCATGCCATCGAACCGACTCCCCCCCCCAATTCGTTCTTGAGTTGAAGAGGCGGATGAGCGGAATTGGAAGTGGGGCGCACTGTAAGGTCTTGCATTCAATATAGTTAACAAAATTATACAATACAAAAATGTGTATACTATATATGTTTATATGTGTGTGGGTTTTAGTTTCAGTTTTTGTTGCCATTTTTCTTGGGTTCCATTGAAGTCCTTTCCATAAGGTTTGTCAAGACCTGGCGATTCACCTTGGATTTTTTTGGTACCCTTCACCTAAACCACCCAACCACCCGAACTCGTGCGACATGGGTGTTCTAAGGGACTTGGACATATACAATCAATTCTCAATTAAGGACAGACATGACAGCATGCCAAACTTGCCCAGGGCATGTTTTGCTCCTGCTGGTGGAGCAGCCGTCGGAGAAAGGGCATCAAAGGTCTGTGGCGAGCAGTGATGTTTGCCCCAGTGTGACCTGGCCAGTGTTCATGTACCTGATCCCAAATCCTTGTTGCGTTTTTACGGATTACCGCTTTGCGGATCGAAACTCATACCCATGTCAGATGCGACTTCTTCTCAAGCGGCTTCAAAGTCTTGGTTTGAGCAGCAGTAGGAGTACAGGAATGCTAGTGGTAGATCTAGTTGGTTTTTGTTCAACCCTCATGATTGCAGGGTACCTCTTAATAGCGAAAATAATGTTTAATGGCGGAATTATGTTGTTAATTGTGAACATGAATTTTGTATTTTCGAAATGGCACGCTGGGCTTTGCCACTTCATCAAAGTGTTTTCGGGAAGCCTAAAACAATTTTGGAGGGGCCTTTGCCGCTTCACATCTTTAAGACAATTGGAGGGCAGCTGAAAGGAACATATTGCGGCTTCCTTGGTTGCAGACATTAGGACGTTTTTCTTGATTGCTTCCTTTTTCAAAAATTGTGTTGAAAGGCACAATTAAGAGCCTCCATGAAAAAAAGTTTCTCAACTGAACCAGTTTCGCCATTAAAACCCACAACTTCGCAATGAATGGTTTGCCTGTTTTCGCTAGTGAAGGGCGCCCTCTCATGATTGCATTTTGCGGGGGCAACCCCGATAGCAGAAGGATGCAGAAGGAGTGCGTTCTCATGGTTGCCTTTTGAAGGGCGCTCCCAGTACCAGACAGAGTGCTTGTCCACACAAACAATGTTCTGGAGTCTAAACTTGGCATCAAGCCCTGCTCCCCAGCCCTCATGGTTGCATTTTGAAGGGCCCCCCCGGTACCAGAAGGAGTGTTTTGGAACAAAGAACCATTTGTTTTGGAGTTTTAAAGCGGCATGAACCCCTGGTCCCCAACTTTCATGATTCGATACCAGAAAGGAGAGTTTAAAGTGGGAATGAAACCCTACTCCCTTTTGCGTAGGATCTCCTAAAAGTGGCAGAGAGTTCTGGATTCTGGACCTGATCGAACACACCCTTGGGTTAGGAGAAAGTCTTTTGTCAGCAAGTACGCGCATTGGACACCACTTGCCCGCTGCCGGAAACATAGTAGTTCAATGTAGTTCAGTTGTTCAGCAATTTTGTTTCATGATGCACCAGGATTGCGGATTAAACAGGTTTAGGTCAAGAACGCGGATTGTCCGCATAGCGCATTTGTATTTTTTGGGAGATTCCAATCAAGAAGCAACCATATATATATATATACCTTGGTATTTCCTCCAAAAATCGATGATGATACCACCACAAAACAACCACTGGTTTAGCCAGAATGAGCTGCCCATGTTGGAGGTGGCATGTCAAGGAGTCCTTTCTTAGAGAAAACACACAATTACGAGCCTCGATTCTATAGGAGGATTCTTGAGTGGACCAGCAGATCTTTTCAATTTAAAGAAATCTGATTATATAGTGAAACAAGCATGGGATTGGAGATGTCAAGGGTCTCAATTCTATGGATTTCTATGTGTAGAGGGCTGCTGTGAAGGTAACTTTGGTCAAATATCATGTTGAGATACTATAGAAAGGTGTGGTAGCCTTCATTCAGGATCAGGTTTGTGCGGGTACTGTTTCCAAAGTAGTCAGATTTTCCAACCCCAAACTTGCTTTACAAACTGAAGAGCACGTGTTCGAGAGCACCCTGTGCCTTACAATTCTATAGAGTTTGAACGAAATTCCTCGTAGCTGTGATTTGGTTGGTTTCCAATCAAAAAACAATTCTATAGAGCTGATGATTTTCTTTGTCACAGTTACCAGTTCTATAGAGCTCAATATCCAGCCTGTCGTTTTGGATGTCATATGCGGCATTCTTTAGCACTATAAAATCGATATACCCAACCCCGCGACTGAATTCCAAGGGGTACTATATGAACATGCACCTGGAAAACCACAATAGAAATGTGTTTCTTTGAAGCGACCATTTTTGTTCGGTCATTCTGGCGTTCATGATCTGGAGCCACTTGTGTGAGAGTTGCTACGTTTTGTTGAAACGTTTGGTTTCAATGACATGTTGAAACGCACGGTTTTGCTACAGGCAGGCCTGCCATGCTCTTGTGATTTCACAATTTGTTGTGGTTATTACGGGTTAAACCATTATTTGGACAAACAAATGAACGTTGCCTTTTTGTCCATAATGATTTGAACAATTTGGGCATTTGGCTTTCCATATGTATACGCACATTTTCATTAGAGTATGTATAACGATATCGACATTTCAGTGTTGTGATTGTTCAATCAATGACTGTAAGCACGATTCCTGGCCAGTTGACCGTTCCGCCACCAATTCTTGGCCAGTTAATCTGAGCACCGCCTTGCATTTTTGGGAGGGTTAAAACCACCAACATGTGACTGAGATGAACCGGCGAGGAGGAAAACCCTGAGCAAACAGTAGATAGTCTATAAAGTGCCTCCACTTTGTATGTGAAGGTGTTGAAATGCGCGGACCAATCGCAGGATTTTCGTGCGCAACCACCTGACTCAAAGGCATCGACTGGACACTCCCTGAAATCTTATGATGCTGTACTGTACATGAACAGCTCCAGACAATCCATGCATGGAACAAAGTTACATATATGGCCCCTTGCAACCGACAAGCTAAATGGGTGTGGTCGACCACGTTTTTCCCGTGTTTTCCTTTTGGTATAAGGAAACATAAAATTGGATGTCACGTGGTGTCACTGGCAAAACCTTGTCACTGACAAAACCTTGGCTCAGCCAAAGTATATCTTTGGCTTTGCAGACATGTTTGTGCCAACCTTTAGGTTGGCTCAACCCAGTTTAGTACCCAGTTTATATTACTGTCAAATATCTGACATAATCACACAACACTTGTTTTCTCAGTCGGTTTGTTTGCCTACTGTTTTGTGTTTCGACGGCTGCTACACAATTACTAAAAGTCTCACTAAAAAGCTTTGATTTCACTTGATTTTTGGCAGCATCAAGGGGGGACCCCATGAAGCCTGTTTTGTGACTTCTGGAACACATTAAACTATATTTGGCATTTTGGTTTTGATATAAAAGATTTCATGACACAAGTTGACATGACAACATAAATATCATCAGGAATGAACACATCAAATTATGAGACCTCATGAAAAAAACATAACAAAGATTTATATATATATATGTAACATGTAAAGGACACTGACACTTACACTTCAAGGCAATATATATATATATATATTTATTTGAATCTTGGATGTCCTGTTTACTTTGTGCCCTTTTTTGATTATTCTTTGCGGGGTCCTGTGGCCAAAGCCCGGTGCAACATAAGTAGATGTTTCTGGAATATGCCCCAAACAGCATGGCAAAAACACAAGAACCATTGAGTTCAAAAGTTGCGGTCATGTTGAGTGTGTTGATGTCAGTCTGGCACTCGATACGATAGACTTTTGCTCCTGACCCTGTACTCATGGGGTCCTGATGTCAAAAAATAGAACACATCTGAAACACTGATCCTGCATACTGGAAAACAGTACAAGACCACCAAACCAATGAAGGAACCCCGTAAGGAAATGTAAGGAACCTGAAAATTGCAATGCACAGACCTCTCAAAGATTAAGTTGTATCGTCAAGGGCCCCTCAAACGAAATCGCCACCCACCGCCACCGCCCACTACTTGTAAAATCTTGTAAATGCCTAACCCGTCAAGAAGTCTTATATAGCTATTCTATTTACATTGCTCATTGAACATCATGGTGCCCAGCACATCCTTGTTTCATGGCTGTTTCATGGCTACATTTCCGTCACGGTCACGTTCTTGAAGCCATGACTTCCAAACCCACCTCGGAAATTTGTGGATTACTTTGACTTTGATGAGAATTCCCCTTTTAGACGTGTTTACAATAAACAACATGACTTGAAAGAACTTTAGTTTGTGAAAGTCATTTTGGATCACATGTTTTGAGTTTAAATAGGGAGTGCCGACCTCTTCTTTCTCGGAAGTAACGAGGATCATTTATACCATTTATGACCCTAATAAGTGTATAATTATATAGTTATTCCAGTCCAGCTACCCCAGCTCAGCGGTTTACCGCCAACGATGTGATGTGCCAGCCCCAGCTGCGGTTTCACGCCCGAAAGCGCCCAGGACAGTATCAGTGTTGGTCACAAGCGGCCGCAGATAGTGAATAGCGAAGTGCAAAGGACCAAGCTGCTCGGAGGAGACCGCGTCGAAAACTAGATGAGACAATGAACCTGCTGTGTCGGGTGACTGAGAATATGGAGCATATATGCATATATACATGTATATACATATATTCAGACGGGTTTACTTAAGACAGTGGTACGACATGCATCATGTCTCCTTTTGTAAAGTTATTCCCCAACTGCCAGGTGAGGGTTGTTAGATTTTATCAGACGCTTTGACTACTGCACCTCAACCGCCAGCTCCGGATGGCAATGCTACATGTACTCAACAGCAAGCGCCAGATCAGAGTGGGCACTCCCGGACCCCTCAA